GAGTTTGTTAGTAACCCCCATGTTTCCTAGTTTATAAAATGACTTCAGTAGAGGCCACCAAAGCTATGATGCCACAGTGAGTTTGTTAGTAACCCCCATGTTTCCAAATTTATAAAATGACTTCAGTAGAGGCCACCAAAGCTATGATGCCACAGTGAGTTTGTTAGTAACCACCATGTTTCCTAGTTTATAAAATGACATCAGTAGAGGCCACAAAAGCTATAATGCCACAGTGAGTTTGTTAGTGACTCTCATGTTTCTTAGTTTACAAAAAGACCTTAGTAGAGGCCACCAAAGCTATGATGCCATATTTACTTTGTAAGAGACTCTCACCTTTCCAAATATCGCCACACAAGCTTGACATTGAATTGTATTACTTAAACACTTTACAATGAACTTTCTAAAAAATACCTTTAATATCAATGTTAACTGAAACTTGGGGAACATTTAACAGAATTGAATTTACCAATATATATATATTAATACCTATTTAACAGTTTTTCTTTCTTTACTACTGTAAAATTGTCGGAGTAGATAATGGGTTAATCATTAAGATATTGGCTTTATTTGTTACATACAAATACAATTACTTAACTGTTGCCTTTTAAAAATAATTGATAGAGTAAATTTATGTTTAAATAAGTCTGCTTTTAAATGTCCCTACAAGGCAGCAACTGTTGTGGTTCAATATCAAATAAATAAAAATGTAATGAAATTTAAACAAAATCTCATTTAAGTGATTTATAAATTTGGTGTGATTTAAAATATGATTGTTTGTTTACGGTTTAAATTTCAACAAATTAACTACCTAGACAAATGTATACTTTAAATTATGAACAAACATTAATTCTCAGATCACACATATTGCATAGTTGTACTTTAATGCTATTGTGCAGTGTTCTTCCAAGGGCATTTTTTATTTAATTTTTAGAAACAAGATGGCATTTCAAAATTCCCAGTTTACCAGGATTTTTTATGAAATTTTTGGGGAGAATATTGTATTATGGAATTATTACTGTTCCTGGAATACCAGTTTTTGTGGGTTTTGCAGGCAATGGAAAACTATGAATTTCAATACTTGCCAATCTATAATGAACAGGCAATGGAAAACTATGAATTTCAATACTTGCCAATCTATAATGAACAGGCAATGGAAAACTATGAATTTCAATACTTGCCAATCTATAATGAACAAACTTATTTTCCCATTCAACTCTTTCTAGCCTACTTTACGGCTATTCATTTTTGTGATTTACAAAATATCTAAATGTATTCATATCAGAGATATCAAAGTTTGACAAATTTGTTTTCTAATTAATTTTCTACTCGAAAAAGTCACAAAAGTAAATTGATCACATGTAAAATAGCTGAAAATTGTGAAACCACAAAATTAGGTACCAGTGAAAAAACAATATTTTCTCCTACCAAGAAAATTTATACCCATGAAAAAAAAATGTATTCAGAGTATCTCCTAAAATACCTGAGTTACAATCATGTACCCACAGGACATCTTGACAACAAAAACATAAACAACTGTAAGAAAATGAATCATGAAGGTGATTGAGTATTGAGGGAAGAATGTCAAGGATATTAGGGATCTTTTCTGTCTGCAGCTTTATAATAAGCTTCTTTTCTCTGTTCTGAAAGTCAGTAGTATTCAGGAGCCATAATCTATTGTGTCTGAAGACTGAAGTCAGCAGCGGTAATATTTTACATGTTATAAGCAGATCTGAATAGTTTTTTTATTACAATTCATATCTTTTTAGGTTCTATCACTCTTTTCTGCATACAAATTTCTGTTTACATAATACATGTATGTTTATTGTATAAATAATACATGAATGTCTTTTAACACAGACCAAACAAATTCAACTGTTTATTGTGCTGAACAGAATATATGGACAATCATGTTTTCTATTTAATTTGGGTTACCTAAAATGAAATATAATTATGGCCTATGAAATAAGAATATTATAAGGCCACTGGGGGAGTACGTATAATATAATGTAATCGAAGGTTTCTTATTAAACTGTCAAAAAAACTTTTAAATGTCCCATTCAATGTTGACTGTCCTTGTGACAAAAGAAGACATTCAAATTACCATTGAGTTTCATTACAACAGAAAATAAACCTGATTTGGATCGTAATATGTTGTACAAACAAGACAGTACCTATATCTTACCTACTGAAACCCATAAAAGAATATTACATATAACAAAGAAAAGTAAACACCCTCCTTTTACCCTTGTGGCTAGTTCCAACACCATACTATCTGCCAAGGTATAAAAATACTGATAAATGATTTAAACAAACATTGATGATAGCCGTCCAAATAATGAACTTCTCTAGTATAAATATAAGTTAATATACTAGTTCTTGACTACACATAAGTATGTCTCGGTACCTATTGTAAATCTTAGTGTACCAATTAAAACATTTCAAAACAAAACTACCTATCTCACAGAAAATGTACCTGGTCATAAAGGTCATGTTTACTTCTTTAAACATGTACTAATAAAAAGATTTCCATATAACCGGCACTCACAGGGATTTTGATTTTTGTTTGTGTCTGGTCCCCTATAAACACCCCTGCTACCTCCTCTGAAAAGGTCTGGATTCAAAAGATTTGAGTTAATCAATCATATATCCATTAATGACTAACCTACCTTGGATGGCGACACTCAAATATACATATAAATACAATCATAATTTCCAATAAAACATTCAGTGGGACTATAGCACATGTAAGTAGGTCTTTCAGTCAACAGCTTTGTCCATTCAGGCCATTCCATGTAAATATGCAACCTTCAGTCAACAGCTTTGACCATTCAGGCCATTCCCTATAAATATGCAACCTTCAGTAAACAGTTTTGTCCATTCAGGCCATTCCATGTAAATATGCAACCTTCAGTCAACAACTTTGTCCAGTCAGGCCAATCCCTATAAATATGCAACCTTCAGTCAACAGCTTTGTCCATTCAGGCCATTCCATGTAAATATGCAACCTTCAGTCAACAACTTTGTCCAGTCAGGCCAATCCATGTAAATATGCAACCTTCAGTCAACAGCTTTGTCCAGTCAGGCCAATCCATGTAAATATGTAACCTTCAGTCAACAGCTTTGTCCAGTCAGGCCAATCCATGTAAATATGCTACTTTCAGTCAACAGCTTTGTCCAGTCAGGCCAATCCATGTAAATATGCTACTTTCAGTCAACAGCTTTGTCCAGTCAGGCCATTCCATGTAAATATGCTACTTTCAGTCAACAGCTTTTTCTATTCAGGCCAATCCATGTAAATATGCTACTTTCAGTCAACAGCTTTTTCTATTCAGGCCATTAATTATAGACAGAACAGTGTAAAAAATGGCAGCTCAACATTTTTACAGATTTATCATTCTCAAGCCCATCCATCCCCCCCAAAAAAGGGGGAGGAATTAATTTTTCATACAAAATGTTTGATATATTGTCAGCATTTCATTGAAGAGTACAGCAGTTAATCATTTAAATTCTGAATAAAACTTATTACACCTAACTCTTATGTTTGTTATTGACCAGGATGCACTGTCTGACATAACATCATGTCATTGTTCTAGGTGTAAATAGCCAAAGCTGGGTGTGTTGACATCACTGTTATGTGCAATATTAGGATTAAACATTAAAATATGTTAATGTGAGCACATTATATATCAGTAATAGGTCAAAAGAGTACATGTCAGACTATTTTTGATATAGATTGTTATTACTATAAAATACCATAATATTAAATGTAACATTTATAAATCATAAATTCACACTTGACATTAAATAGAATTGTCAGTCCATATGCACTTCATTACATGATAGCTTATTTATTCAGATTCATATATATATATATCGTATTTAAACAATGTTTATAATCTGGGTATGTGGCTTTGACAAACGAAATATACCCATGGTCATCTTTTATACATTTTGTTCATAACAGTCCTTCCATCTTTTAAACATAAATTTTATGATGGTACATAATTTTTTCCCCAGAGATATTCAATGGCAGTCAACTAGTTGCTAATGTCAGCTTACATCTATGTCATTTGGTTTCTTATAGATAGTTGACTCATTGGCAATCTTACCACATTTTCCCTATTTTTTAAAATCATGTGACCATTCATTCAACTTTTGAAGGGATGACTTAAACTTTACCTTAATTGTCCAGTAGAATAAAAAGACAAACGGACCAAAGTCCTAAATGTGAAGGAATACTGATCCACAAGTATAAGATAATAAATGGACTAACGCCCTACATGTATAGGAATACTGGTCCAAAAGTATATGATGACAAGTGGACTAAATATTTTATAGTGTGTCTTTCTATGTTGTGATGTTACACTATTGTTTCAAGTAGGGTGAAGGTTGGCGCCTATTAAAATGTTTAAACCCGCTGCATTTGTTTGCACCTGTCCTAAGTCAGGAACCTGATGTTCAGTGGTTGTCGTTTGTTGATGTGGTTCATAAGTATTTCTCGTTTCTCGTTTTTTATATAGATTAGATCGTTGGTTTTCCAGTTTGAATGGTTTTACGCTAGTCATTTTTGGGGCTCTTTATAGCTTGCTGTTCAGTGTGAGCCAAGGCTCCGTGTTGAAGGCTGTACTTTGACCTAAAATGGTTTACTTTTACAAATTGTGACTTGGATGGAGAGTTGTCTCATTAGCACTCATACCACATCTTCTTATATCTATAAGGTCCTTAATGTTAAGGAGTATAGGATGACAAAAGGATTAACTTCCTACATGAGAAGGAATATAGGATGCCAAATGGATAACGTCCTACATGTGAAGTAGTACCGGTATAGGATGACAAAAGGATTAACGTCCTACATGTGAAGTAGTATAGGATGACAAATGGATTAATGTCCTACATGTGAAGTAGTATAGGATGACAAATGGATCAACGTACGTACAGACGTACAAGGGTAAAACTTAATGCCCCCTCCGCTATGGCGGGAGCATAAAAAGTTCACTTACACTGAAATTAGTCCTGAGGATTATCTGTGGTGAGGAGTCCAAACTGATATAGTTTGGTAACTGGTCTAGTAGTATAAGATGATGCATGGACTCTTTATCTCCATGGCAACACACTGATACCACCACCAGGACTATCCACTGCAGGATGGTCTTCATTTCTATAATTTTACTTCATTTTTGGTCCTGAAAAAAAGGTATAATATCATTTGATTTTTATTTATGACAAGAAGATTGTTAACATGTTTACTCTGAGCTTTTATAACAAGACAATGAATACTAATTAACATAAATTTTAAAACACATAAAGAGACAAACATGTGGAGCTGAAAAACAAAAATAGGTCTCAAATATAGTAACAAAAAATACTAAAAGAGCATGCTTTAGTAAGAATATCAAATTAAAAAACCGTGAGGTTTTATCAATTACATAAACGGTACCAATTTTATTGCACCAGATGCCTATTTTGACAATTAATGTCTCTTCAGTGATGCTCGAGGCCGAATATTTGAAGTCCAAAATCTAATACAACCATTATAGGGCTGATAAAACCCAAAAGGACCACAAGTTTGACCAAAGCTGGACAAGGAATTGGAACAATATCCATATTTTCATGCCAAACTTCCTTTTTATGTAGTGCTTATATTAACCTAGTCAACTAAGTCAAGATTTTTTTTTATAAATTGTTTATCAAGCAAAAGATAACCAAAAGACATTCTTTATAGGCCTTTCACAAGCCACCCATGCCATATGAAATTCATTTGCAGGAGCCTAAAATCCAGTGATGGTTGTTGGTTGCCATCTGCCATAATTATTTTTCTTTTATTGACAAATAGTTGCTGTAGTATAAATCAGGCTGTCTGTTTTCTCTTTTGAATTATTTCACATTTTGTCGTCTCATGGCTTTTTACAGCTTACTTAATAATATGGGTTTTTCTCATTGTTTTACAGTAACCTGTTGTTGTTTCCAGTCTTGTTAATAGATAGGTGTTTCATTGGCATCATATAACATCTCCCTATTTTTACAATAATGGCAAAACCTTCTTGTCAATGAACTTAGGAATTAAAATGATACCTTTGACCCTTTCAATAACAGAAAATTTTTGACCTATGTACAATGTAAGTCTTGTTTTAGGACAAATAGTTCAATTATAAGTAAAACTGTTTACTATGACTCAACTGATGTATTTCTACCTATCAATTATATTTGATGCATCTTACAAAAATAAACCTTTAACTTCAAACATATGAAAAGACTATCAATGTACATCTATTCCAACCAAGGAAGTGTTCAATTGACTGGAAAAATGTTTGTTCATTCTTTGAATGACTTTTAGCATCTTTAAGGAGGAAGAACAGCAAAAGAATCTGGAGAATAATGTTTTAATCAAACTATTACGGAGAAGTTACATTATGCACATCCATGTTTGTTGTCCTTATTTGGAGTATCAACCAACCCAATTATATCAATGATCATTATATAATGTCTCACTAAACCTCTGCAAACATATCTGTCAACATGTAAGCCTATTCAGAAAATGACCACTACTCTTGTTTATGCTATATCTCTTGATTGTTTTTGTTCTGACTTGGACATTTAAGTTTCACACCAGAAAATCCTGAAAAAAAATTTATGACAAAAGAAACAATTTTTCATTTCTTTTTGTTAATTTTCCTTTTTTGAACAGACATGTTCCTTTGGCCCCTTCTTACCATGGGTATATTTTCCAAGTCTTTCACTATGCTCATGTCCATAGTGACATTTTAGATTTCAATGAATATAATCTTCGTGAACTGGTAATTATAATTCAGGAATTTCCTTACTAAAAATTACTTCACAATTTTACTTAATTCTTTCATAGATACAAATATTTGGTTTTGAAGTTTGACTGCACTTGTAGATTTCTTATTTTTAAGGTAACATTATTTGTAAAGCCCATAAATTTAGATACGATTCATGTAAACTCATTGATTCTTTGAATAAACATATTCTTAGAAGATATCAATTTAACACCATAGTAAGACCATTGAAAATTGTTTTTTATCAGTACATTGTACTAACATCGATTTTGTTTTCCATAAATTAAAACATAACTAAATATATATGTTTTGCAATACAGTTAAGAAAACGTACAGTTCTACGATCCTGTCGATATTATGTATATTTTAGCATTGCACAAGTTCATGGTTTTCTTGGTCTGTTTATGAAGTCTTCACATTAGTTGGATGTATATTGATGGATACTTTAGTCTGGGAGAACATGATTTTTTTATAAGTTGTTATTGACTTTCAACTAGCTTTCAGAAATTGTGAGTTCTCTTAGATCAAAACTTTGCGTCTTTTGTCTTAACATAAAGTCCTTTTATTTCCTTTATTCCAATCAGTCCATTTCTATTAATTTCTACCATTTGTGCTTATGTTATGCTCTAACACCACAGTCCTAGGCTATGGGAAGTTTGAGGCCCACTACAAGCTATTAAGCTACATGTCCTACATGTACATCTTTGTCTGAGTAACCTGATCTAGACCAATGACTAGTGACAGACATCTCTGATAAATCTGTGTCAATATTCACCATTCATTAGTTTGTTGATGTGTACACTAAGTAAACTTTTACCTGACAAAGATTGAACAGCAAGGTTACTGTAAATACTATGTACAGCTGATATCATTCTATATAAATTTTAAGCATGTCCCGTAAGGCTGTTTACTTTATTTTGTAGATTTTAACATACATGTACATGTATATACATTTCAAAAGGTTGTGGGCATTGAATTTGTAGATCTCAGTATACATGTATATTATCAAAATCCGGATATGGTGTACAAATTTTTGCACCTCATGTTTGTGGTATACCATCTTTTCCGCAAGTTTATTGTTTTCTGTTTGGTATAAAATTAATAATAAAGATCCATTTTGTTACATCTTGTGATCCGTTTATTTGGCAATCGCCAATGGCAGTCAGCATGGTTTAAGAACATCTGTTGTTCGACCTGTTAGTCAAATGCGTTTTGTTTAAATATACTTTTTCACTTATTTTGGTCTTTTGGAAAATGTTGTTTGTGCTGTATTTAGACCCCTCTACTAAGAAATTTGTTTTGCATGCACACGTATAAAAATTTCGGTTTTTATCAAACGCAATCATAGGTTTGAAAGTTGTTTTCAATTTAGACTTGCATGTATATACATATATATGTATAAGTATGTCTAAACAAATGACAACTCTACGACAGATCCATCCACTGGATGACCAGTGAAGGTGGTACACGGCTGAAAACACATATTATATTCATAATTACTCTAAATATCAGGACAACAATGTAAAATCTGCAAATATGCGGAAGCAAATTTTTGTTTTTCCCTCGCCGGGAGTTCAAATCCCGCCGAGGGAAGAACAAGCAAATTTGCAGATTTAACATTGTTGTGCTCATATATATAAGTCTAAAGATTTGTACAACGGTACTAATATAAGATATATTGTTAAAATGATTGACACTGATGAAGGCTATTTGTTAAGCCGAAATATTTGTCAACAAGATTTTATAACATCATCTTCGTATATTACCATCTTATATTACATGTACAATGTAGTACCGTTGTGCAAATCTTTAGACTTATATAATTTTTTCCATATCTGCGCAGTATCTCCTATTCTAGACGATCCGGTACATATTAAATTTGCTGGTTAGTCCTTTTTATAGACTTCTATATATATACATGAGATAAAACATTCTTCTTAACTGGACCAGACTCTTTTTTACAGGATATTTACAAAAAAACTTTGGACAAAATCAAATATTTTACTGGTCATTTGGTCCAGTAATTCATATCACTTAACCAGACAAAACCAATTTTTTACTGGACTTTGCCCAATGTCCGGCACCCTTTGGAATGACTGGGGACCTGACCTCCAAAGGCTGTGGGCATAAAAGATTTCTTTATATATTGTACATGAACTCCAAAGCTGTGGGCAAAGGATTTCAATATATATACAGTTGAAAGCCTGACCTCCAAAGGCTGTGAGAAAAAATATAAATTTATATATATACATTTGAAAACCTGACCTCCAAAGGCTGTGAGCTATATGGACAAAATGAACATGTCATTTGAACTCTGGTGGACACCTGTCTTATTGGAAATCATACTACATCTCCTTATTTTTATAATGTACTGCAAAGTTCTCAGAATCTTTTTTTCCCTGGTGGTCCTTGAAGAAAATTTTCTGGTCCTCACTATTATTTCTATTGCAAAATACCAAAATTGTGTCAGTCCTTTGAAAATTTTAGTGGTCAAAACCTTCAGACCACCACTTTTCAAGAACTCAGCAATATAGTATAGATTTATACATTTTAGGCCTGACCTCTAAAGGTTGAAGGCATCAGGTTTTACCATCATCTGACAACTGTATGTGCACATAAATTTTGAACTAACTTGAAGAGATGTTTTGTCTTAGTTATATCCTTCAATGTTTATTAGATACTTAAATTTATTCTTTCCTTTAATTATACTCCTTAATTATGCTGAAAAAGCCACTTGAAGTACTTAAAATTGTTGGCCTGAATGCTTTGAAATTTTAAAACAATGTCATGCAGTCTTAAACATTGAAGATTTTTCCATATCCAGAAATCAACGCCACTTTGCTTATTTGAATATTATACTAAAGAAATCGGATACGGGTCACGGAAATTAAATTGAAATGATAGGGAGTTTTGAAAAAAAATGTCTGTTTTAACTTTAATTTAAGTGATAGACAGGTTGCGGGGACAGAAAATAAATATACACAACAATATACACCATTTAAACGAAACATAATGACTGTCGTTGCAAAAATCAAGGTTCCTGAGCTATTTTAAAAATCAAAGCGAGAGGCTTTTAACATTGCAATATAAAATTCAGGCTAAAATGGCTGAAACGTCAAATTTGCAAACTTCGTGTTGAAAATTGGCTAACAAGGTCATTACAAAAACAGGTTGCGGGGATGAAACTTGAAACTTGAATGTCCAAACAATAAGCAAGTCCAAACCTTGTATGTGTAGTCGTTGAACTCTAGCTATAGGTTCCCACATAAAGTTAAAATGCCCCTTTTTCAAGAAGAATAAACTCATGAAAACAGGAAAAATTCACTAAATTCGCGTTCATTGTTTTGATTTTGACCACCTGACAACTTTATGGAAATATCAGAGTGATTATAAACAAGGACTCTGTGACTGACAACTTATAATATCCGTGTTTTAAAGATTTTAATGATATCAAGGCAGTCCAGTTCAAACTATTATCACGTGGTACAATTCTCATTTACATATTATGAATATTAATTAGCAAAAGTACTACTAATTTCTGGCTATGCAGGTATTTGTCCGTCTCTGCAATGCCTACATGTACAATGTATGTACATGTTTGAATACATGAAGCTGACTTTAAATTCAAACATGCCACATTCTTTAAGTACATGTCCCCTTTAATACAGTGGTTGTGGTTGGTTGCTGTCTGCCATAAAACCAGGACTTATTTGAATCTGGAATATTTTTGAATTCTGGAAAATTGATAAGAATTGTATGATGAAAACTTACTGTTTTAATAGGGTTAGCCTTGTGACAAAGGGGGTTAGTTAGTTCATACTGAAATATCAGTGAAAGTAAACTGAACCTTAGCCATGCATGCATGGCTAACCCTTTTTAGTTGGGTTAGTTTTTATCATACATTTCTAATCAATTTTCCAGAATTCAAAATTATTCCAGATTCAAATAATTCCTTGTTCATATTTGTTTATCATTTATTGTGTTTATATCCTCATCCTTTTCTGTCTGGTGGATAGTTGTCTAATTGGCAATCATACCACATCTCCTTATTCATCTTTTTAAAGATTTTTTTTATTTTACATTTTTTTTAGTTTGGAGTTACAAACAAAATCTAACATGAATTCTTGATTGTCTGTAAAATAATTTAAGTGAAAACTAAGACAGCCTTAAGAACACTTTAAACATTTTACATACTATTAAGAATATATAGAAAGACAATTTGTCTTTTTATGATTGATGAGGCAATGGTTGTTCATTCAACAAACAAGAAATGGAGATTTCCTATAGAAACAAACAAGTGAAATAAAAAACCTATTGTTCTGAATCACTTGAGACTGTTTAATGAAAGTTTTATAATCAATTTTGTTTTGTATCAGAAAAATACAGTTAATCTTATTAAAAGTTCAATGTTGTCTTAAATCTAGAATATTTTAATCCTATTAAGAAACTTAGTCAGTTACATGTAGTAGATAATTCATTCATAGAACATTAGCTAATTCAAAGTGACGTGTATTTTAAGCACGAAATGAACCTACATGTACATGTAGCAAATAATTTGTGGTCCAGCATTACAAAAGTAAAAGTAGAACTTTATTGGCAGAAAACTATCAACAACCTAAGCAATCCTGATGCTGTTTAATTTCCTATTACTACTGAGATATTGAGAATATCACATAATCTTACACAAAATTCCATTCTTTAAAAAAGACTTTTCCATTTTAATAGCAGATTTTTCATGACATTGACATTTTATTTCAGGTCATATAATTCTCATCAGAGGATCTGATAATTATTATCAGAAATTTTAACAGACTAGAGCCAATAGTTCTGAAATGGTCCAAGCTATAATTGTTTTTTCTATTAAGATCTGGGAAAAATTTATTTTAAAGGGTGAGACCATTTTTTGTTTGCCTTATTTCAAATATTTCGTATTCCTTAACTTCATAATTCATTGAAGTTTTTCATTTATTTCATACTACACAGTGTTCTCCCCAGAATTTTCAAATACTTAATAGCACCATGGAAATTAACATAGCACTGCTGGTCCAAAAAATATAGCACCATGGCCCCTATAGAATGTACATTCTATTATAAAATCATCCAAGATAGCACCATGGTAGAAAATATAGCACCAGGGTACCACAGTGCTTTAAGGCCCTGGGGAGAACACTGCTACATGTACCAGTAATCAACTACAATAATTTTCTTGATTAACATTTTTTTATATTTCATCCCCCTTTTTAATCTTCTTCAGTTGAATTACAAAATGTGCAAAAAAGAATGCACAATAAAAAAAATCACTCTTATATCAGTGACTGAACAGTAGTCTCCTAAAGCAGCATAATATTGATAAAATAATAACTACATGCAATGTATGGCTTGTTCTCCTTTTACAGACTATGTATTTGTTTGTTGCAATAAGTGATTGATTAATTGACTGAGGGTATTTTAAAAAAAAAGTCTTGTCAATACACGTAGGCTGCATGTGGCACATCCAGAAATAATCTGCATAAAAAAAAACTCGACTAAAAGTTAGGCATAAAACAGTTTTTCTGATGCAGTAATTCGTCTACAATGCTTTTGAACCTGAACATACATATATTTAATCATAGACATTGGCTAGTCTTATCAAAAATTTGATAATGATGCTAAATATCTCATCCTGAGCTTCACAATGTCTCTAAATCATTAACGAAAATACCCTCCCCCTAGTTTTGTCCATTTAAAACATAACAGGTGCCCTTAATTAACTAGTTGCTAAACCATTCACTATCGCCATTTAATTCTAAAATGTTGAGTTACAAAAAAAATAAAGATATGTATAAGTTTCGTGTTGGTAAGCCTAACACATGCTTACTTGGTGTCTTATTCAGAAAAATAAATAGACACACCTGAAAAATATCTTTTTACCTGTCCAAAATAACGTTACCTGTGCAGACGATTTCACCGAAATACAAATTGTCACATTAAAATCTTTTCTTTTTCTTCACTTTTCTAGAATTCGTCCACATTTTATTCTGTCACTAACTTAAGTTCCGTTTTCACCACTAAACATGTGCTATACAGTAGCAGCCGCTATATTTTGGTAAATCAGTGCAAATCTTGATTTGGTCTGTTAAAACTTGCGATTCACTCCCACCAAATTAAAAATATCTTTTATTTTTTTCACTGCTGTAACGTCATTTGAGATGTGTAAATTTATAACTTAGCATTAATTTATTATTTTCAAATTCTCGTGTCACATCTTTTTATAAAATCATCAAACACTGCACTGAATATGTTTAAATTTGAATGATAAACTTTACCTGCGACAGTGGGAGTAAGATTTTGTAATTCAATAGCAACTTTGTACCCTCTTGATCAACAATACGCTTTGAAACAGGGCCAAACATGAATGTGAGTTGACTTGTCAAAAATCATAGCTTTTTTAAAGTTATATAACTACTGTCACCGGTTATAAAGTGCACATTGAAGAAGATACTTAATAATGGATTTGGACAAAGTATTTTTCATTTTTGGATACTTGTTTATTTTTGTAATATTCTGCCCAGTTTCAGCAGATGGGACACATGGCCATGCACTCTCAGTGACAACTGTGCATGGTTTAAAAACTATTAAAGAAAGTGTAAATGAGGAAAATGTGAAGATTCACAGTGAAATTCTGAAGATTCCTCATGATATTAACAAGATTATTTATTTGGATATTGTCCAGTATATGGAGGTAAGTCTAAATTAAAATATTATTAATTATGATTTAATACATACATGTATGTAAAGTGTGAACATTTCAGAGAGTAAGAATACATTTAGTAAAAGATTAGAAGAGCAGGCATGAATGATTGATTTAGACTAATAAACATTGAATATATTTATTGTGTTATAGAACTTACTAACAGTGAAACAGAATTCTTCTTTTTTTATTGTAAATGGATAAAAGGTTATTTATTGACATTTATTTGTATTAAAAAGTCTTATAGAGAATATAAACATTTCATGTTGTGCATGTCTCATGCCAGGAGGTTGTAGTTGTCAGTTGCAGATTCAGGGGATGAAAATTTTTTTTTTACCCCCCCCCCCCCCCCCTTCTCACCCCAAAATTTGGCCCGAGAACACAGTTATTTCGTAGTGCATTTCTTTTAGACAATAAATTCAAATTAAAAAAATCGCACCTGCTCTATCTCAAAAAGATATTTACAGTGTAGTGTACTACTATTGATACAAATAATATCAAAATTATAGAAACTTCTACCAGCTCTAACTCAAAATATTGACAACTCTGTGTTAAGGGGGGCTAAAATTCAGTTTGACAATTTTTGACCTTTTTTAACTGGACCAAATCACTACTTAACATAAAGATTCAGCACCCAAATTTTTTTAACATGTAATTTCATCGCCTTACTTAATATTTCATGCATAAAATATCAAGAAATAAATTGGAAAAGTGTATCAAAAAAAAAATGCAGGTTATACACTGTTCACACTAGGGACTATATTCGTAGACAACGAAAACCTAAGGACGATAACTGTGTCCTTGGACCATCATGCCCATTTTGATCTTAAAATACAGTTTTTGGCATTATTTTAACCATTACCCAGGATTCTTCCCTGTCTGCTATAATTGTTTTATCTTTTGAATTGTTTCAGAGTAACAGTTATTTTGTTGCCTTTTTATAGACATGTGTGTATGTTTTTTTTTCATTGTTGAAGGTCTTTAATATTGATACCATTTTTTGTTAATATATTGTCTTTTGTGGATTGTTGTCACATTTGCAATCATGCCACGTCTTCTTGTTTTTATATGTTTGAAAATAAAGAGATGTTTGTCATTTTAAATGTATGAATAAAACTGAATTTGGGATATAAATCACTATGACAGCAACCCTATGACAGAAATATATAAAAAACATCTGAGAAACTAATTCCATGAGTTATTGCCCCTGTTTGTACATTTTTTACCTCATTTGGATCTATACATACATTATTTTATAGAATGTTTCATATATAAGGCCAAATTAATCACAAAATGCTTAAACATTTATCCAAAGCATTCACATATATATAAACACAGATTCAATTCTTGTGTGAGTTGACCCAAAAGTAAAAAAAAAATATGAAACACCCTTTTATTAATGTGATATATATATCATAAAGTACCAAGAGTGATGTTCATTATGATTGTACACATTTGAAAGTACAAGTTTGAAGATTAAATAAAATTTGTATTGAGTACAATACTAAAGAAGGCCTGATTTAAATGTGAGTTTATTATCCGATTATTATCAACAATCAGATTGTCTGAATGTAGATATTTACCTATGTTTATTACATTCATCACTGCTGACATTTAGTACAATTCATCTTAATATTTGGTGTTAAGACAGCATTCTCCTGGATAATAAAATCTATCATGATCCTTCAGTGTAATCAAGCAGAACAATCAATTGTTAATTGATGGATTAATTTGTTTTGGTTAACTAACAATATAGGTTTTGCTTGTTGTGATAGTCAATATCATTAATGTTTGATTTTCCTGTCTTTTTCTAATTTACTTCCTCTTTTTGATAATTTGTTCATTGTGAATTTTCAAAATTTATCACATGTTTATCCCAAATTAGAAAAATACTCTGACTGAAGTGTTTCTTGTTTATTTTAAATACCGGTAGACCAAAACTATGTTGAGTCTTCTGTTCACGGAATAACACAAACAAAGTTTATGATAAATTTAGAAGAATTCCACTATATAAACTAGTTTTAATTTCAAAGACTAACTTTTACAGGCCTTTAAATGGTTGTAATTATTGTCAACATCATTTTCAGATTTCAAATACAAATTGTTTTTAAATCATGTGCGATAAGAACTCTTTGATACTTGTTGCAGTATAAAACGATAAGAAATTTCCCACCAAAGATCTAATTTTTTAGGAAAACTTCTGGAAATGATAGAATTTATGTAAAAAAGATCATTATTAAAAATGATGATCAAGATAATTTCTGGGGTCAGTTTCTGGAAAATATGAAATTCTCACAAGAAAATGAATAAAGAGGTACTTATGATGTAGTTTATATTTTATAACCAGATGTTAGGTAAAAGATCAGGGTTGACTAACTATCAAATATTAACATGACATCTGCATGAATAAATTGGTGTGTGATGAGATACCTGTTTTTCATGGATCATTAAATGCACATGCAGTGCATCTAATGTTTTGTGGCATTAATGTCTGTACAACCAGCTGACATGTTCATATGCTTTTGTATTATACATCCCAACTACGGAATTTGAATGAGCAATTAAAATTCTAAAAAGACCTTCATAAGCTCATATAATGAAACTTTGTGGAATAGACCTAAGCTTTTAGCTTTCAGAACCTCAGTCCCTTTATCAGGATAGAAGGAGATGAGAGTTATACATTCATGAGACAGCAACCCAATAACACAAATCGATAATGGACCTCTATTGACAGAACATCAGTCCCCTTATCAGGATAGAAGGAGATAAGGGTTATATATTAATGAGACAGCAACCCAATAACACAAATCTATAATGGACCTCTATTGACAGAACATCAGTCCCTTTATCAGGATAGAAGGAGATGAGGGTTATATATTAATGAGACAGCAACCCAATAGCACAAATCTATAATGGACCTCTAGTGACAGAACATCAGTCCCGTTATCAGGATAGAAGGAGATGAGGGTTATATATTAATGAGACAGCAACCCAATAACACAAATCTATAATGGACCTCTATTGACAGAACATCAGTCCCCTTATCAGGATAGAAGGAGATGAGGGTTATATATTAATGAGACAGCAACCCAATAACACAAATCTATAATGGACCTCTATTGACAGAACATCAGTCCCTTTATCAGGATAGAAGGAGATGAGGGTTATATATTAATGAGACAGCAACCCAATAACACAAATCTATAATGGACCTCTATTGACAGAACATCAGTCCCTTTATCAGGATAGAAGGAGATGTCAGGGTTATATATTAATGAGACAGCAACCCAATAACACAAATCTATAATGGACCTCTATTGACAGAACATCAGTCCCCTTATCAGGATAGAAGGAGATGAGGGTTATATATTAATGAGACAGCAACACGATATTATATATCAATGAGACAGCAACACAATATTATATATTAATGAGACAGCAACCAAATAACACAAATCTATAATGGACCTCTTAGTGACAGAACGATAATTAATATGAGTACTTTTTTACCATGCTTATCAAAATCTTTAAAACAAAATGTAACCCTTACTTTAAAAATCATCTTACTGTTTAATCTTTAGTTTTCTGTATGAATGTTAAAATAAAAAGATGTGGTATGATTGCCAATGAGACAACTCTCGACCAGAGACCAAATGATGTAAAAGTTGGGTCACTATATATGTGTTTTGTTTTTGTTTTTTAAGGTGGTGAGCTTCTCTGTCCTTTGACTTTTGATTGGTCCCTTTGTGTCTTCCTTCTATTCATTACATACTTTTAATTTTTGTTGTTTATGAGATTAGAAGGACAAGGGTAAGTAAATCTTTATTGATAATGTTTAGAACACTCCTTTAAATCTACGTTTGCTAATGTTATGTAACCTATTAAAGTATGGTAAAAGTTTCTCAATTAACTATTCTGTCAGAAATTGTGGTGAAGTGAGTGCTTCTGTAAATTTACATTTTGATGTTTACCAAAAACTTAATTAATATTACCCATTTTAGGTGAAAACTTTTCAAATGTGGTAATAATTTTTGGACTTTAAAATAAATATACTCCTTCCACTTAAGAATAATTTTCTAACTGAAAAATAATGTGATTTATAGCTAGGTGTCATGTTTCTGACAGAATATTTACCATAAACTAAAAAAGATAGTAACATTGTACTCATCCCACTATTATAATAAAACGCTTGACTGATTTTATTTTGTTGGTTATCATTGTAGCAGAACTGTGACCACTGTGTATGCTAGACCTTATAATTACACACTTCAGGAACCCATTCAAATCATAATTGACCTACTTGAGGAAAGAATTTTTTTTGAACAGTTTGATAAAACGTGGCTAAATTTTGATATCATTTGAGATTTTCTTTTTTGAACCTTTGCGATATATATTGAATATTGATCTGTAAAAAAAGTTCTGAGCTTTAATTTTCTGATTTTTAATAAGTTGTCTTTTAAAATCATGGGTTTAAACCAAAATAAAATTATACTGTTGATAAAATCTAGGAAAATTCTAATGTATTGAACTTTTTTA